CCCTGTCCCTGGGTTGGTCAGCACCACCTCCTTACCCACGTCTCCCCCTCCCCTGTGTCCCCCCAGAACCGTTGATGAATTGGGAGCATGTTTGATGAAAACTTTCAACGTTGCTTCACACATCAATATGGATGTGGTGTTTTTCTTAAAAATACAGCCTGTTTCCTGAATTTCTTAGTTAATTTGTACAGTGTTAGAAATGAGAGGTGTAGGGTACCAGCCCCAACAATCAAATAGGTCCACGGGGCGGTTCTGTCATGGAGACATCAGAAAAGATAATGCATGCACGTGCTCAACCCTGGGAACATCATGACTTCAGGAGCCAGATCCACACACACACAGAGAATATATTTCCCACCAAGGCTTATATACACTAGGGGCACGCAAGCCTCCCTAATTACAGGTAAACACATACATAACAAGTTGGGCTGTACCCTAACCCTAAAGGTTCCTGAGGACATTCGAGGAGTAACCTAACACAAGCGTCCGGGGCAGGTAAGGGGGAGTCTCCGTCTGTCTTCAGACCTAGAGAGCAACAGCACATGTCTGCCCCCAGCGATAAAGCTGTTGGCTACATAGCAATCAGCCAGGTGCTTGTAAGAGGTAGCTTTAAGGTAGCACTATGATGGGAGGATACAGTGGGCAGCAATATTAATGAGAATGTGATTGGGACGCACCTTCAATTCACAAGGGAGAAGGCCTCCCTCCAGCCCAGAAACCCAGCCTGCCAGGCTCCTTAATAGATGAGACTACAGGATTCATCCATATGCATTCTCGGTCTCTGCTGCCCACAAAGAGGGACGTTTATCAATTTCTGTAGTTGTCTTGTTAAGTGCCTAATTATACGTTGAAAGTCCTCAGGTACTTTGTGTGTCTCCATGCTTCCGTTAATAAAGTAGAGTATTAAGTAGCTCAAGGCTATGAGGATCATCAGTATTTCATTTTGATTTTTTTTAACGTCTACAACAAACAGTGAATCTAGTGAGACACACATGTTATTGTGCCAGCCCCACCAGGCCCCGACTTCAGCCTCCCAAGTCCCTTCAGCAGAGCCTGTCATCCTCCATGGGACGTGGTAAAGGAAGAGGCTCCAACATGCCACGGGCCCTTTAGAGATGCTCATCAGACTCTGGTGTTCTAGGAACCAGAAAGTAGGAACCACTTGTTTTCTAAACTTCTCTTAACTCTCCAACGTGAACTGTCAAGCTTGCTCCAGGTGAGATGATAATTGCAGTTCCGTGGGGAGGGGAGGTCACACAATCCCTCACCCGGATTTCAGTGTTTGGCTGCTGCTCTTTCACACCTGTGTTGGCTGTTGCAGCCCTCAATGAGGCCAGGTCCTCGCCCGGGGAAGGACTCAGGTGAGCATCTTCTGTGCTAGCCTGAAAGGCTTAGGATTCTGAATGGAAAAGTGGAGAATGGGGAGTTACTTGAGTGGTAGTGTCTGGAAAAGGGGTCACTCCATCTAGGGCAGGTACTGGAGCAGTGACAGGGTCATACTGGGAGGATCCAAGTTCCTGAGGAGAGTGTTGAGCTTTAGGAAGGAGACTAGACGATGGCTATCCAACCTCAGTTCCTGCTTATTATTGAGGTAATTGAGAATTTCCACATACATCCTCTTCCAGTCTTCAGTATTCCCAAAATTCATAGCAATCGATACAAGGGAATTATTTGTCTGTAAGTTTATCATGTGCTCAATGATGACAGTACAGGTATAGTTGCTTCCAATATATTTGGTGTACTGGGAAGTAAATATAAATGTATTCACCTTTCTGAATGAGCACAGGGGTTTTCAATATTTTTTTCTAATTGAAAATTTTATAAAGTGGGAAAATTTTCAGGACTTTAGACAACTCATAAGGCACAAATATTTCTCTCTGTAGTTGGAAAACAATCAGATGCTATTTCCCCTCCTCACTATTCATTTCCCTCTAACTTTAGTTTGTCCAACATATGAGATTTCTCTCCTCCCAGTTTAATGTTGCTTACTTATATTCTCTTTAAAATGGTTGGGATTACAAAATAGGTTATGATTCTTCTTCAGTTTCCAGAAAGAACAAATATATGATGACAGCATCTGTAAAAATGAATCATTTGTTTTTTACCTCAAAACCGATTATTACATTTTTTTCTTTTCAAGACCTACGTTTTGGATCACAGCTTAGTTTTGTGCAATATTTTGTGTAATAAATGTCATTTTACTTTCATTCCTGATCCAAGAAATGGAATGATTCTGTTACAGTATTGATGTTTACTGAGTAAATCCAATTTTGTTGTGGAAAATTGGTCAGGGCATGTGTAGTATATCAAAACCGGTAACCTGGATCCATACGTGATATTGGTCTGTGGAATCAAGATTTATATAAATGTAAAATGATCACAGATAAACGTAAGAACTATTTAAAAGGTATGCGGTAAACTTTTGAAATATATTTAAGGCATTTGGTTTACTTCAGGAAAACCAAGTGAGAACTGTCATAGAACAGCACAGCCATCAATTGACACAATGTCATTGCAGCCATGGTACCCAGGTTCAAATCCTGACCTGACCTCTTCTAGATACATTTGCTTCCTTTGACAAAAAAAAGTTACATTACTTCCTAATGCATAGTTATGTGCATAAAATACATTAAAATTGATAAACTTCATATCAATGCTTAGATGCTTTGTAACTGCTACTGAAATACACACAGAAAACACTGGGTTGCCTTTTAAAAGAATATCTATTTAGAAATCAATTTTCAGAGTAAGGTTATATGAAGTGGAACATTTTAAATCATGATTTCCCCCAAATATCAGTCTATATCTTTGATTTAGATTTTCATGCAGATTTCCATGAAAACCCCTTCCTGTGCTTATACATTTGAATCAAAATCCCTGGATAATGACAGAATGTCCTTGGAATGGAAATAGCAATTATCTATGGATTTGAAATCGTCGCTGGAATTCTTGGGAATTTCTCACTCATAATTCATCACATCCACTTATACGTCCATGGGTGCAGGTCACTATCCGTAGACTCAATGATCAGAAAACTGACTGTAGCCAATTCTCTGATCATTCTCTCTCTATTAGTTTCCCAAGCAATGGGAACTTCTGAGTTGAAAGGTTTCCTCAATGATACTGCCTGCAAACTTCTTTCATACATTCACAGAGTGGGCAGGGCTGTGTCCATTGGCAGCACCTGCCTGTTGAGTGTCTTCCAGGCCATCACCATCAGCCCCAGGAGCTCCAGGTGGGCAGATGTTAAGCAGAACGCCCTCAAGCACATGGGGCTCTGCAGTAGCCTTTCCTGGGGACTGCACATGGTCGTCCTTGCAATGATCCCTATTTATACGTCTGTCGATAGGAACAATAAAACCACCACAAAGAACAAATTCGGATACTGTCGGCTGGCACCTACTGACGGTAAAATATTTGCACTCTTTCTAGCATTGATATCCTCCCACGATGTTGTGTGTCTGGGAGTCATGTCTTGGGCCAGTGGCGCCATGGTTTCTAGCTTGTACAGACACAAGCAGCAGATCAGACACATTTACAGCAACCACCTCTCACCCGGATCCTCCGCAGAAACCAGAGCTTCCCAAAGCATCCTTGTCCTGGTGAGCGCCTTTGTGTTCTCCTATGCCATCTCATCTGTTATTGGAACTTATTTCTCTCA